TCATCACGCAAGCTCTAATCCCATGGGCAGTCTTAAGCCACAAACATTTGACATTAGGGCAAACTTGGCTTAACAAAGAAAAAGTTGAAAATAGGCAATACTTTCTCATCAAGAATCTACTAAAGGTATAACAAGATCACTAACCCTGTATACAACTATAAAGTGCTCAAAATTGAGAGAAAATCTGATGAAGATAGCAAAGCAATTGAACTAATTGCATTCTTCAAAAGCACAATTAGAATCAAATGCAAAATGCTTACCCTTCTACTCTTCAAGTGGTAGAAGTCAATCAGATCATCTGGCTGTGAATGGGAAATCTGAGCTTTTGCTTTAATTTCCTCTGTTTCGCGTAGCTGTTTATCAGAAAGCATCTTAAACAAAACTCTCACGGCAAGACTTCAACCATATCTTCCTGACCTCATCCCCTGTGTTACACAGCAGTCTTATGCAAAGAACTATCCTATCATAAGAATCATTATCAATTGGATGAGGAAGAACCGAAGACTGCCCTAGCTGTAGCATTGAAACCATGATCAACAGTACATTTGTAGATGCTTTATTGACTTCAACCCTGGAAGGCTGAACCTCTTCCAGTCTCAGCACAAGCTTTGTCAGTGTGCAGGCAATCACAGCCCAAGGAAAAAATCACCAGTGAGGAGGAGAGATCTCAGATTTCCAGTAGTTAATGATCCTTGGACAACAGTTGGAGGGAGAAAGCAGTTTCAGAAGCAGCACTTTGAGTGGCATACGTCCCATCAGCAAGGATAGCTGGTCGTCTGGATGAAACGGTGATGGAAGTTACCTGCTGAGATTTCTTTGCTGGATCAGCAGCATCCCTTCTTCAGAAATAGAGTAAAAGGGTAAGTCCCCAAGACACTGCTTAATGGTTGCAATGCCGCTCTCGACTTCAGAAAGGGACAAGCAGTATTCTCCAATAATCCAAAGAGCGCAAGAACAAACCCGTGCAGCTCGAATCTGGTAGAACGTGTCAAGCAGCCTGGTGACTATGGAAACCCTTAATTTTGGGTTTGTTTCAATAATTTCTCGCACAAAAACAACCAATCCATTGCAGAAGCAACGTTGCTGTCACCCAAGAAATCCATCAATAGGTGGACCACAGTGCTTGCAACTTCTGGAATTTTATAGCACAGGAATGAATGGCTTGAATGAGCATTTGACGGTACTCCCCATTCTTCTCCAGCTCGCGCACTTTGAGTTTTCACAACTTCTTTCTTAAGAGTGAGAACAACCTCATTGACATTTCGTGCATGATCAAATCAAGAACTATATCAAGTGTTTTCCTCCGAATGTCAAGGTTCGGGCTTGAAAGTGCCCTAAGAACATCCATTATCAAATCAAACATAATGTCCCTGTGAGATGATTTCAGTTCATTCAGACGATCAAGCAGCAATAAGTTTGACATTGTTGTCACTCTGAGACAGAAGAAGCTGGCAGTAGGTATTGGCAGCAGCCCTGATAGCTGTAGGAGCAGAAGACAAAGAAACAAGAGTTCCAGCACATTCATAAATAACAGCAGCAGAAGGGGCGTTTAGCAGAGAGATAAAATCTTAATGTACTTCCCTTTCTCTGCCTTGTTCGTTCTACAGACTTTCCTGACCAATTCCAGGACTACCATCTGAAGCAACTCTCCCCAGTCTGGTACTCTGTCAACATGAGTCAAAAGGTAATTAATTGCACGATCCTGGGCACAATTGAACAGCATCAGAAATGCATTCCTCTTGGCCGATTGGTCCTGTTCGGATGTGAGAACCTTTTCAATCATCTCAGGAGCATCTGCCAAGAGCTGCTCTCCTTGCGGGAGCTTGTAAATTGACATCACAGCAAGAATAGCATTCCTTCTGATAAATGGATGTCGGTGCTCCAAATTTGACAGAACAGAAGGGATCAAAGGCTCAATGATTTCCACCTCATTCAGGCGGCATAGGAATCTCAGCGTGACCCCCCGAATGTACTCATTGGGATGCTGAAGATTGTTCCTCAGGTTCTGACAGATCAAGATCATCTCAGGTAGAAGTCGCCCTTAGCATCGGTCTTGTCAATGATCTCCAGATAGAGAAGCAGCAATTTCTGAATAGTGTGATCTTCTGAGGGCAACACGTACCGGATAATAGTAATGAATAGCTGGGGAAGGGTCTCCCCATTCAATAAAAGCATTACAGCCTTTTTCATGGCATCAACCTTTGCTGGAACATCATTCCCTTCAAGGGCTTCCTTAATCTCATTCGCGGAGGGCCGGTGTACCCTTATCAAAGTGTACCAACAAAGAACATGATTTCTCCATTGCTAGCTCAAATTATACCTGAAAACAAGCCAGAATTCAAGATATCCTTCAAGGTTACAGATTCACGATTTGCAGACAATCAAGGCGAGTCCAGAATGAAAGAAATCGGGACCAATTTGACCAGTGCGTTGTGTTGAGCTGGTCAATGTATCCTAATCATAAGACGAAAGAACGATTACAAACTGAACTCGTTAGTATGGTTTCTTTTTTAATTCCTTGGTCAGTATTTAGCATGATTTGTGCTAGCAATAATAAACATATCAAGTAGATCAATGTGATTGGAATAAGAAGCCTGAAGACATTTATGTATACATCTAATAACAAGAAACTAATGAACTCGAAACGAATAAATTGCTATGATGTGGAGCTAGATCGAGAAAAATAACAAAATACTAGTCGATGAACAGAAGCAACAGATTCAAAGCTAAACTTCTATATCAATAACGAATTGATATACACCTAAAGAAGCAACAATAATCTAAAATTTCCACTCAAGACTTCAATTGAAAGTCCAAAAGGCTTGGCATAATATATAGCATAGGTCAAAATTTCAGTAACCCTAGGGGTCAATTCCATATAGATAACAACCCCCAGTCCAGCCACAACCAGAGACCTCAAAAAACATATGGGCGAATTGCATTGGGGGGAACACAGATCTTGTGGATCGAAACGAATTAGAAGGGAAGTGTGATGCACCTACCGGATAAAATATGCGGCGTCCACTGCTGAAAATCGGATGAAACCTATTTTCGAATTAAATCGACGAAAGTACAAATGTTTTGGTGGAAGAGGGGAAGGCCTTCGGAATTAGGCGCTGTGGTCAGATCTGCGATCCGCAGGCGCTGAGTTAGAGTTTTATTGTAATCCTCCCTACTGCTCTTTAATCTCAAGACAGTTATACTACTACATGTAGTACAATTTACCTCCCCCAAGTTTTTATTATTATTATTATTCTTCTTTCTTATTATTATTTTTAAGTGAATAAAGAATGACGCTAAACAAGTAATTAAGAAACCAAGTTTGGAAGGTTGGGTTGGAGGTGAAAGGGATTGTAATTAGGAAATTTTAGATTTAAAAAATAACTTAATTTGTTAGCTACTTTTTTCTTCTTTTTTCCCCCTTTTTTAACGTTAATAGTATTATGACTTATGATGTATAAGTATACAATGTTTTAAAATGAATCTAAACATAACTAGTTTAAATTAAATTTATTTTGGTTGTGCATCGGTGTGTGCTGGATTTGTAGAATTAGTGAGTAGAGTCTTAGGATGCGTTTGATAAAATTGAAATCTCAAAATTTGAATGCATTGAGTTATTGAACTGTTAAATATAAAATCTAATATATTTGAATGCATATCACATTCAGCAATAAGTGAATAGTTTATTCCTTAATTTTGGGAGCAAGTTTTATCAAAAAAATCAGTACTATTTAATTAATTCAAATATTCAATTTTTGGTTATCAAATGGTCTGAATATATTAAAATCTGAATCCATTAAGTTTAAGTGCTAAATTGAATTATCAAATAGAACCTTAATTAGGTTAAAGTTATTTAATATCTTGTGTATTGGTAATTGGATTTTCACTACATAATCGGTAATGCGGTAATATCTGAAATTCGAAATGTCAATAATAAGTTAAAATATTTAAAATTTTCTCTAAAAAAATTATTGCTCTAAAATAATATTCCATATTTTTTCCAACAAATTTAAAAAAAAACGAGCACATCGTTATCAACTCATCGTCACTTTAAATAAACAAAGAACAACAAGTGAACATTTGGATGATTAGGATAGGAGTTTATTTGGATGATTTATTTGAGATAATTACTGTAGCACTATTTGTGATGTGATGCATGCGAGATAAATAAGTGATTGGGAAAGTAAAAAGATGATTGGAAGTTGTGAAGTAAATTATTTTATTTCAAATCTTGTTAATCCAAACACATCCAATTGTATCTTGCCATTTCTACTGTCCAAACTCCAACCATTCAGTAATGCAGTGAGCCATAGTAGTTAGTACTCAATAATCAAATACTCATAGTCAATAGTTAAACTAATCAATAAGTTTGTCAGTAGTACTATATAGTCATCGGTTAGTAGTTAAGTAATTATTAGTTGCTATTTACTACTAATTAGTATTTAGTAATATGTATGGATATAAATAATATATATACACACACACATACATATTGTAAAAATTTAAAAAATTCAACAGTTTTACCAAACACTAAAATTGGATATATTTTGATTTTACCGAATTTCGTTTTACCAAAATTCGAAATCCAATCTAGGTTGGATCGACCAAATTTGCAGTTTTTTTTTTCTGAAATTCGAACACTCCTATCTGGGACAAATTTCTTTTCACTTCCAAATATTTACGAAGTTTAACTAAAACTTGATCTGAAAATTCCGCTATTGCCCTCGATACTTGTACTGACTCAAATCATCATAAGTATCATTGCTGAAGGAACACTGCACATTGCATTACAAATGCAGTAATGTTAAGAGATGTTAATAAAAAGAATGTTTTAGTGTTAGGAGTAAACATTTATACTGGATTGGGCCATGAGAGCAGCCCATGAATTCAAAGATTGGGCCCTGGACGCTCAACCCCTCAAGCAACCCTTTTCCTTGTGAAATGGCGGGAAATTTTGGTTAAAAAAAAAAAATAATAAATAAAAATTCAAGCGAATCCCCAACCCCAGAGCAGAGGAACAGAGCTCCTGTCGTTAAGGGCAGAAGGCTCATCGAAACCGTCGTTTCCAAAACAAATCTGAGCGTAGAAGTAAAAAAAAGAGTAAAAATTTAAAAACTGAAAGAATGCAATCAAAGATCAGTTCATTTTTCAAGCCCTCTCCAGCTACGGCCAAAATTAAAGTCGCATCTCCGATTTCTGCTATTATATTCGCCAACGAAGCCGAGATCTGTGAAGACCCAGAAATAACTGTTACTTACAAGCGCAGAGCTAGAAACCCAGGCAGGTATTGCATTCTTATTGTTTTAGTCCTTTTTTTTTTTTTTTTTTTTTTTTTTTAATTTCGTTGAGCTATTGAGCTTTAATTTAATTTATGATCTTCTGCCGAACACCCCAACTGGGCCATCTCCCTGAATTAATAATATTCGATTATACCCAATGTTTGATCGGATTCTATGTTTTGAGGTTTTACTTTTCCTTGTCCATATATATTTTACGCTATTGATCTTAATGTTGTAGACATCGTAGCTGCTTTTACGAAAATCCGGGAATATTCTGGTGATAACTGCAATTTTCCTTTTCTTTTTTTTTGGGGGTTTACTCTTGTTTGTAAGATTGTGATACTGATGTATGAGGAATTTTTAAAATGTAATAGTTAGAGACAACTAGCTTATGTTTTCTCAAGTGGATAAGTATTTAAATCGTTGAATTTTGAGTTTTTTTTTTTGGGTGCTTTTGACTGTAGCCATGTAGCTGAAAATGGTGATAATAGAATAAAGGATTCCAACCCAGATAAAGAGCAAAGGCAAAAAAGTATCTATTTAGTCGTTGTTTACTATGCACAGATACTGATGTTTTTGGATTAATTTCGAGTCCAAACTGCAGTGAGAGTGATGCCGATTCAGCTGGAGCAACAAACAGACTTGGTGAGGTGGATATGGTAGCAAAACTGGAGGTGCCCAAGTCTGGAAAAGTTCTTAATAAAAAGAGAAAATACGCACAGTTTTATTTGGAATTAGGTCAGTCTGATTTTCTGCTGCACGCTTGTACAATTTGTGGATTTAAGTATGCCAAAGGTGATGAAGGGGATGAAAAGGTTCACAAAACATTTCACAAGAATTACACTCACGGCATTCAGTTTAAGGTGAATTCGGATTTACAACTTAGAACTCAACTTAGGTTTATCGAAGTTGGCTTGGATTAGTATCTACTGACATCCATTACTATGATTTTCAGGGGTGGCGAAATGAAAGAGTTATATACGTTCCTTCGCTTGACACTGGGCGTGTTATCATAGTGTTAAGCGATGACCCTCCTGCTCAAAGAAGCAAGGTTAACATCAATACTTTGAGTTTCTGTTGGTTTTGATAGAAACTACTCGGTTGCTAGTTACTCAATCACACTAACGAGATGACTTTGTGGGTGGCAGGTTCAGGATGTTGTTAAGATGATGGAGATGGATCTTGGGGATGGGTGGATATTTCATCAGCACTGCAAGGTGTTCAGAACACTCGTTACTTAGTTGCAGATTACTTACAGTGTAGTCTACATATCTGCTCTTCTAGCTTTCCAATTTTCTACAGATTACTCTTTCCGTTAGAAAATATGTGTATTTACAAACTCATGGTGGACCAACAACAGATATTCTATACATGGGTTTTCTGCTCAGATACTACTTACTATGGCTCAGAGATTACTCAGTAAAATTCACTTTGTAGAGACGGAATAGTAAATCACATCTTTGCATCACATTTTCAGTTCAATTTCTTTTACATATTTGGTCTTGCTTCTTACTGCATTTCCTACTGCCAACAGGTGTATCTGTTTGTATCTTCTGGAAGAGTTACTGGCTGTCTAGTTGCAGAACCAATAGAGAAGGCCTATCGGATTGTTTCAAGCTCAACAGGAAAAAAGTCTCAGGATCAAAATGGAAAAGGAGGAAGAGAGAATTCAGTGGTTCTCCAATTTGGTGAAGTGAGCTTCCAAAGAGAAATAGTGAGAAAGAATAACTCTGCCAAAGGCAAGGAAATGTGTGATTCAGTCACTGGAGAGATCTTATGTGAGAAGGAAGCTGTACCTGCTAGTTGTGGTATAAGGGCCATTTGGGTTACTCCTTCCAACAGAAGGAAGCACATCGCGAGTCACTTGCTGGATGCTGTGAGGTAAGACAATGAATGCATGTCTGGCCAATAAAAAATTTCTCTTCATTCTGGTCCTTTTATTGGGAGTCTGTGGCAATTGCTCACGGCAAACAAGATGACTAAATCAATCGAAATGGTTGTCTGGAATATAAAATCAGCTGAGTAGGACTAGGTGAAGAAAATTTCCTATATATCTTCCACATTTCCATGCAACAAATAAATAGACTAACATCTAGCTGAACATATTAATTGAACAAATCAGTGTGCACGTTGCTTTGAATGGAACTCAATTTGTCTTTTGACTGTGCAAGAACGGTGTCCTGTTTGCCTCAGTTGTCGAAACAAGTTGATCTAGAAGTTTAGAGAATTTAGTATTGTTACTATATTTAGGTAAAGCATTCATACTTCTGCAATGCTTGCGTGATCCTTGCAATGCTATATCATAAATTGGTTCACTTGTACTTCATTTTTACCTGCCCACTTCAACGACTCCAGCTTGGCCAACTTGTATCCTGATATGTTGTTCAAGGCAAGGATTGAAAAGACCTTCTTCTGGGCAGTTTAGGTTCAAATTGGAAAGCTGCTAAAAATTGGATGAATGGACTTGGATCCATTTCACTCGAGTCGGCAGAGGAGAGTGGAAATTTGTCTGTAGGGATAAAATATGGAGACCTTGGAAGTAATTAATGTTAATAAGATACCTCTGTCGAATTACATGTGCAATTACGAAGTCAACTTCCAGTATGTCAATGCACAGAATTTGCGGTGAATATATTTCAAAAGATTGTGGCTTTTTTGTTGCACATTGCCTTGAAAAGGAAGCTAAATTTGCCGATGCCGTGTCTATAGAAAAGTGGAATACTTTTGTTAATGACCTTCGGATGAAATTAGGATTTCTAAAACTGTGAATAGGAATTTGGAAAAACGGTAGATGCTTATACTTGATACGTGGCTGTTAATACGTCTTTGTATACCAATTTATGGGATCCATTCCTCAAGATAGTAACAAAGAATAGTGCTTTGAATGTCTGATGGGAAAATTGCAATTTTAATTAGTCTCTTAAGATTTAGACCATTTTCCTTTTAATCTCTCATGCTTTGACTTTCACACCTTGGGCCCCTGGTAGGCTGGTATTTGCCATAATTTATCATCAGCAGTAATGATACAGAAGTGTGGGATGGGGGCAAAGTTGGCAGGGAATAAGAAAAACTGGAATTTTGAGTTGGTAGGGAATAAGAAAACGCGACATGATGGAAAAAATTGAAACTAGTGATCTGATTTAAAAGAATGAAACTGGAATTTGGCCTGCCTGAGTTGACGCAAGGGGATGTACTACTGTCACTATCCCTCTCGTCGAATCAATTAATCTCTCCCTAAAGAAAAGGAATCGACGGTCTTCTCCGATGCCACGTCGATGTTTATTTATTTATTTATTTATTTATTTTGCCACAAATGCAGGGGCAGCTTCTGCAATGGCCGAATTCTGAATTGTACCGATTTGGCATTTTCTCAACCAACCTCTGCTGGAAGGGCCCTAATATCCAATTACATTGGCGGAAATGCATTCTTGCTCTACACAACTTCGTGATTTTGAGTAAGAAACATTCGCAATTCCATCTAAGGTTAGTAAGTTTATATGATATAATCTAGAATGAATGTACTACTACTGTTGATCTATTTCAAGCGTTCGTTAGTAATAGCCAATAGGTAGTAGTATTAGAATTTATGGTCACAATGTAACATTAGGTACTTAGAACCTTGGAGAAGCAGAAGAGAAATTTGGAGTTCTCATCCAAAAACAAATCAAGAAGAAGACGCAAAGTTCTAAATTTTACCAGCTTGCATGTAGTAATAATGCCAAGAAACCGAACATGCTAAATATTTTGCCCCTCGGCCATCTGTTGACTGAAGACCCATTCCATTTAAAGCTGCTTTAGGAATTGGAAAAGCTTAGCGCAGAATTCTCTTTGTGTTTTTAACTGGTTGTCGTCTTGCTAAAATACATATTGGAATTGACCGCGGGCAGTCCCATCACACAATTACCTGTAGGACAATACTAAAGAGATACTCCAAATTTTGTCAGCATCCCAAATTTCAGATATTAGGGCCGAAATTGAGGACTTGTTTGTGCTTTTTTATTAGTTAATAATGAGACATTTATGGGTATTTCATCCATAAACCAGTATCCTAACCAAAGACTATGCCAAGACTAGAAAATCTGTTCACAAAATCTGTTCATTATTTTAATGAGTCCACTATCCTCTGATCGAGTCATAAAGATCTTTTTTGTAAAATTTGAAAGCATTTTGCTTGCCGTACTCCTCATTCTTTTCGGTAATTTTTTTTTATCAGCAATCTTATCTATAAACAGCCATCTTTTGCCAAAAGTCAGCCATAGAAATCGAAATAGCAAACATGATGGAGTTGCTGCAATTGCTACATGGCAAAGGGGTCAGAAACAACTGGATTGGTACAATCATTGAGGATACTCAGGCTATAAGTAAATTGTTTTGTATGTACTGCTTTTGGCAACTAAGAATAGGAAAAGAGTTGTGATCCTTGTTTTGATGTAGCAGCTCAAGCATCGGGCAATCATTATGACAAGGAATGGGTATATCCCAACTACTCATGCGAAATGCATGAGTTGTAAAGTGATATCGGATCGAGCCTTTACTCACTTTGCATACTTTGATGATAGTTAATGAAAATCCTATCGTCTTGATAAAAAAAAATATATATATAATCATCTTTTCAATTTAATCATTGATTAAAATAATTTTTGAGCTTTTGTACATTATCCCCAGCATAAAATGCTTCTAGATTGTAACGTTTTGTTTAATCTAAATTTTTATTGAGATTTAATTTAAATTTTGATTAGGATGTGGATAGTAAAAAATTATTTGCTTGCATCACAAACATAATTTTCAACACACCTTCTTATCTCACACATACAAAAATTGTTACAATAATTATTTCAAATAATCTCCTATCCAAATAGGGGCTTTATTTTCCTTAAAAATAAATTGCAGTTTCTCTCCAAAAAATTTTGACTCTATTTGAATTAGTTGTTTTTTGAAGTATTTTTCAAAAATTTTGCTGTAATTGTGTATATAAAATTTTTTTATTTGAATGTGGTATTTTTGGAGTTGTTTTCGTTTGTGTATTACTATAATATTGTATATAAAAAACTTATTTTTTAAAAATTGAGGAATTCAAATAGAGCTATATTTTATGTAAATATATTTTTTAATCATCTTTTTATCTTACATATATTGAATCTTTACAATATATTTTTCTATTAAAACTTCAGAAAATAACAATCCAATTAGGCTCTTAAATTTCAGTTATTTGAACTCATGGAAGAAAAGGTGCAGCAAGTAGGATTTAGAGCAAAAAAAAAGTAGGATTTAGAGCAAATTCAAGATGGTGAAGGTAAGACATGGCATTTATTCATGAAGCCGGAACAAAAAGACCCCCAAAAAAGTGAATATTGTTACGCGTCAGACTCTGACACATAATTTTTACTTGGCGCCCAAGCAAAACACCAATGACACATTCAATCTCTCTCCTCCATCTCGAACCCACACTATGCTACCTTCCAAAAATCTAATCATCTACTTCACGCGCCCCAGCCCCACAGTCCCAGATCTCTACTACTGCGATAAATCTGATTCCCAGATTGCCCGACCGCCTTAAATTCCATTTCCTTTAATACCCCTAAAACCCCGTACTTACGGATTTCGATATAAAACCCTCCACCCTGGTCACCTCAGGCTTTCCTCTCTCACCTCAATCTCTCCTGTCTCTCTGAGTACCATATTACATCGCATCGGAATTTATGCCTCGGCCTTGGCGGCCCACTGGTATTTGAAGCTAATTGTTGCGATTTTACAGGGTTTCCTTGGGGAAAAATGTTGGACGGCGGTGGCGGAGCTGCGTTTCCGGTGATATTCTACGATGGAGAGCGGGAAATCAACATTGGAGACATCCGTGTCCAACCAATGTTGGAATTCAAGACATTCCAGATGATGATCAGCCAGAAGATCGGAATCTCCCCCAACCAAATCTCCATCTATCTCGTCCACCACAGTTCCCTGGCTGAGGAACGCCGGAAGACCCCCATCACGGGGAAAGTGAATTTCGCCTTGATCATTCGCCAGAAGGACTGCTTCTTTCTTGTCGTCTTGAAGAGGTCAAGAAAGTCTAGGAACCGGAAGTTGAGGCCCAACAGCGTTGATTTCTGCGACTACTTGTCGGATAATGATTTCCTGCCGTCTCCTCCGCCGGAGAATGTGGTTCTCCTCCGGCGAAACCAGGCGGAGGTGAATATGAACGGTCTGCAAGTTAATTGTTTCGGCAAGCCGTTCTACGATCAGATTACCCAGGTCCAGCTGGCGGGTTTAAATGATCGGCTGCAAAATTTGAAGGTGCAGAGGGAGAAATACGGCATACCTGCGCCGCAACCCGTGAATTTCAGCGGCCCAGTTTGGCTCCGAGGCCGATGCCGCCCAACTTGAACCCGAGTTTGGACCCGGGTTCATTTCCAAGGATCCAAGAGACGATGACGAGAAACGTGAAAGAAAGTAGTAGTACTAGTGCCAGTAATAAAGTAGCCTGCGAGGAATGCGTGAACGCCAAGAAGGCTGGCTGCACCGCACCCTTCCATCCTTGTGTAACGACCCGTAATTCCGCGGTTCTTGACTCGGGCCGGCCCGATTGCTAGGCCCGTCCAAATCTCCCCGGTGAAGGTTCCATATTTTAAATAAGTTAAATAAATGGTGGATAAGTGAGTAATGTATTGTTGGGGAAGCTTCTGGCAAGAACTGGATATTTTTTTTTCCCCCTTTTTTCTTTTTTGTAATTGCGAGTGGCTTTTTGTTTGTGTATAGACTTATAGAATTGAACAGGAGGTTTTCATTCATTGGGCTCTGTGATGGTACGCAGTAACGAACGTGTACCATTACCATCGATATGGTTTAACCAAAGGTGCGTTGAAACTCTAGAGGAGATGGTAGTTTAGAAGCTGCTCTGGCGGCCATTAGTAATCTGAGAAGGCAGAGTGTAGTTGGTGGCTTTATATTGACAGATATGCCCTTTAAAGGAGGAAGGGCAAGGGCCAAGGTTTTGATTTGTATTGTTGTGGGGTCCCCTGTGGGGGCCCCGCTCGTGATTTGGGCGAATTGTACATTTTTATTTTTCCCTTTTTCTATTTTTGGATGCGCTTACATTATTGATATTACTCTTTCGCTTGGCGTAGCCACGGCAAATTATGTCGAATTGGTCAGTGTGAAACAGCATTTTCCTCCGTCTGATAATTATTTGCTTCTCTTTATTGGGACGTTTTGTTTCAACCTTTCTTTTGTTGGTTTCCTTTTACCGTCTTAAATTCAGCGTTTGTATCCCCCCTCTTCTCTTCAAGCGACGAGGAAGAAATTTTTTTTTTTTTTTGTTAAAAACAAAAAAGCCCCCGTGGTAAGCCTAATACACAGAAAAATCCCCTATAGTTTCAAAATATACAATACGACATCTCATGCTTTGAACTAAATTGTAAAAGTGACGGAATCCGTTAAACTTAATGGAAATGACTTATTGGAACCTAAAAAAAAATTTTTATACCTATTTTTTATCAAATATACCAATTCTACCCCTTAACCCTCAATTCTCTCTATTTAGAAAATAAAATAAATGATTTTTTTGAGCTGTCTTTTGCTTAATTATATCAGGGTATTTGGGCATTTTGACCATTTCCGTTAAGTTTAACGGATTCCGTCACCTTTACAATTTAGTTCAAAATATGAGGAGTCGTGTTGTATATTTTGAAACCACGGGGGGCTTTTCTGTGTATTAGGTTTATCACAGGGGCTTTTGTATTTTTTACCTTTTTTTTTAAGGTTTATCACGCGAAAAATCAGACTTAAGTGCTTTTACCATCAATCAAAAGGGGCAGTAATTATCTATCGAGAATGGTAATTTTAGTTAGTATTTTTAAACTTGTTGGTCTTGTGGGGATGAATAGACAAAGATCACGCAAATTATATCAGATCATTATCATGCATAAATTTATTATTTCATTTCGGAATTGCCAAATTGCATTCGCATCCCAACACGTACCAGGTCTTTCCATCCAATGGTTCCTTGGGTTTGCTTGGATATAACATTTTATCTTAAAAAATTATTCGTTTACATATTATTATAAATGCATTTTTCCAATTAATTCCAAACGGCACCTTAGTCCCAGTGAGGGTGGCTGTGAGTGGGCGGTCACGTGACTCATTTTGTACAGCGTTTCATAATCGTTTCTCATTTTTCATTTTTTTTTTCATTTGATCTCCAATATTGAATGCAGCATGCCAATGGTCCGACACCAGAAGCGTCCTTCGTTCCTCTTTCTGCCAAAAGCAGGAAAGGGCTTTATGTAACGTCAGTTTTTAAAACCGCAGCTCTCTTCATTTTTTTTTTTTTTTTTTTATAACTCTCTCCACCACTCGATCGGTAGTCTCTTCACTCCCTCCCGTCGCCCAAAACCCGTTTCTATCCGCGCTCTTGCTATTCCGACCATCTAACATCTGGAGAGAGTAGCAATGGCCGATTATTTCCAAATAAACCCGCAAGAATTGGATGGTGATGGAGAGCTCTGGAAACTTCTCCCCTCTGATATTTTCCCTTTTGATCATCAAATTACCTCTTCCAACCTTAACCATCCAACCTACTCCTGCTATAACCACTACAACTACTCTCTTGCTCAGCAGCAGCTTTCATGCATGGGCTTTGAAGACCGCCTTTCTCAAAGCTTAGCTGCTCTCTCTTTTTCTCAAGATTCTGGACTCAGCCCACCATCACATGGCTTCGTCACACCTCCTCCAAACTTGCGAGTAAATTATTTCTCCTGCATGCAGTGTCTTTTTTCTTTTTTTTCCCAAGGTTAAAATTGTTTAGTAACTGCATGTTCCTTCTGGATTTCCTTCATCGTTGTCTATTGCAGCGGTTTAGACCGGCGGTTCAGTGCGTTTGCCGTGCCGGTTCATTACCCGTCCGGTGCCTTGTGTGCGATGGATGTCTGTCTGGAACTAACCATGTCCGTACTGGGTTCAGAAATGAAGCTTTTTCGACCGGTGATCTACCGGTTTACCCCTGTCACTTTATGAATTCCAATCCAAACCCGGTTCTTTCTCTGGTACGTTGAACCGGTTTTATGTCGTACCTTCATTTTCGGTGTCCTCTTTTTGTGGGTTCTGCTTTTTCAGCTTTTTGGGTGATGATGATGGGTCTTGCACTTTGCAGTCAGAACGCTTTATTGAACAACAAAGACTAATAAGGAGTTTTCTGGAGCGGCAGAGGCGGTCTACTGCGAATCGGGTAGTGGAGAACCGGTTTGTTCCATTTTCAGGCGGTTGTGGGGAAATAGGATTGGTCACGGGACAGGAGATTATGGGGGACGGGGGTTTTTCTACCTCGCATACCAGCCAACAGCAGTTCCGCAACTTCAGCTGACCGTATGAATGATCATCCCAAGAGAAGACAGGGTAAGCCACCACGTTTTCTCTAATTTGTAATGGTCTTGGTTTTTATTTTCCCCTTAATTGTTTTTCTTTTCTATAGACACGCAGACATATGCATTTTGACCCTCTAGATTGTTTTTTTTTTTTTTTTTTTTTAAATGAAACGTAGTAGCGATTTGATGCATGCGAGTTCAAAAATTAT